GGTATGTATTATGTACAGTCACTGCGTTGATTCCCGACTGTATAATGGTTGGTTGAGAATAATTTTAACTTATTTACTTATGTATTTTTGAGAAAGCGATATATTTGCTACAATATTTTTTTAATTTTACATTTATTTCCACAGACTCCACAGAATGGGAGTCACATTTGTGTCAATCAGACTCTTCAGGAACGTCCTGATGTCCGTGATGAGGACAGAGATGCAACTGTGTGTGAGTATCTACTATTTTAGAATGTTGATGATATTTTATGCTTCAATATTGTTTATGTACATAATGTAATTATGCTATGTATTGACAATGCACAAAAATGTTTTCCAGCTGCATCCAGGACCTACTGCCAGTCATCTGGATGTAGCTAAATAAAGATGCAGGTAAGATTTATTACTAATCTAGAGATGTCACAATTCCTTGAATGATTAAAGCACTGTGATTTATTAAAATCCATCAAAGCAAATTATCTGCCTCAGAGTTTGTTGAACTATGTTTTACTATTTATTACCAACTGCTTTTAATTATTTTTTCTTCCAATTGTTTCCAAGTGTTTTCTCTTTTTCATTAAAGTTTTTATTTTTTGTAAGAATGTATTAATGTGTTTTTTTCTTTCTTTGTTTTAATGTCTTATGTGTGCATACTAAGCTGGAAGTTGCCAAACAATTTCACTGTAGTTTCATAATGACTAAAAGATGCCTGTAGCTCATAATGATTGTCTGTTCTGTATTAACAGCTGATGGAGGAAGGCAGAGAGTACTGGCAGCAGAGGAGGTGGCATTCTGGGAGGATGGCAGCTATGAGGCGGTGTCAGGATGGACCCCAAGTTCCTCCAACCAGGAGCTCAGTGACATCAGGACTACATTACAGGAAGAGACGTCAGGTCTATGCTACAGGAGAGATGTTGGGCCTGTCCTGAACGCAGCATAATGTTTGATCATGTTTGGACAAAAAAACACTGCCAGATGGTCCAGAAATGGACAAGTATTTATGTCTTATTTTGTGTGCAAACAGTAAAAAAATAAAATGAAATAAAGAAAACAAACTTATCTCTTTTATGTTCCTCATATATGAACATGTTGCATATAAGCAATATCAAATGCTTATACAATACAGCGTTTATTTTTATATAGATTTTGTAAAATACAGCATTAAAAATATTAATGATTGGGGTGGGGTTTATTTATAAAGTCATAAGTGCTGTCCAATGGGCACACATCAACCAACCAATCACATGTCAATGATGAACTGTGATGTCATTGTTTTTCATCCAATGACTGAGAATCCACATGGGTCTGCTGAAGCGCCTTTGCATATGCTAGGCTATTCGTATGCTAAGTAGAGTTGTTAACACCTCCCGCCCGCCCGCTGCCCCGCACTGCCACTCTCCCCCTCCAAGGATTCCGCATTCGACAGAATTCGACTCCCGTGACTGAAAACGTAGACTGTCGATTGCTGACGATATCTGTCGCTGATGAGCTGAGTTTGCGTCAGAATACAGGGTCAAAAATCCCACTTTTCGTCCTGTG